GACGCCCCCATGTGGCAACGAGGGCGACCGCGACTTCGGGGTGCGGGACGGTTTGGATGGTTGCGGTGGAATTCTTCCAGCAGTGATGGATCCAGTATATTGTCGTGGGCCACCCAGGAACTCTCCTCCGGTCCGTATCCTTCCCAGTCGATGAGATATTGTAACCGGCCACCCTGTCGCCTCGAATTTAGGATTTCTTTCATCTGGTACACCGAGGGCTGGTCCAGAACCTCAGGAGGAGGGGGTGCTTCCGGCTCGGTGGATCTGGAGGAGGAGGAAGAACAATGTTTGAGGAGTGAGACGTGGAATGAGAGGTGAATTTTGTACCTTGGTGGAAGCTGAAGAAGGTAGGTGACTTGGTTGATCTGCCTCTGTATTGGGAACGGACCAATATAGCGGGGACTCAGCTTTTTACAGGGCAGGCGGAGGCGCAGATCCCGGGTGGACAGCCAAACCAGCTCTCCAGGCTGGTAGGTGGGAGTAGCGGTACACCGGGCATCGGCGAAGATCTGATGCCTCCGCACTGCTTGTTGGAGCTGGACGTGAGCAGAGTCCCACACTCTCTCGCTCTCTCGGAACCAATAGTCCACAGCTGGAACCTCCGAAGGCTCTTCTGTCCAGGGGAAGAGCGGGGGTTGGTAACCGAGCATGCACTGGAAATGGGTCACTACCCCGAGGACAAGCTTACGGTCACTCCCAGTAAACGGAAGAAGGCCTTCCAGACTCGGGAGATGAACTGGGGTCTGAAACGACCTCCTCCGGGAGGCAATAGTTCCGGAAGACCTGAGTGAATAGGCATTCAGCTGTGTCAAATGCTGTTGGTAGACCCTTGAGAGGGATGAACTTACAGGCCTTGGAGAAGCGATCAACCACAACAAGGATACAGGTGTTACCCTCCGAGGCAGGGAGGTCAGTGACGAAATCCACTCCAATGTGGGACCAGGGTCTACGGGGCACGGGCAGTGGGACGAGCTTGCCTACGGGGAGATGACGTGGGGTTTTAGACATGGCACAGACTGAACAGCTTTGGACGTACCTGTTGACATCCCGGGCCACCAGTACCGAGCCTGGAGGAGCGAGACGGTCCGTTGCCTGCCTGGGTGTCCAGAGCCCGGTACTTCATGCATGGAGCCCAGAAGGGTCTGACGCTGGGAGGTGGGAACATACGTCTTCCCTTCTGGGCAGCCCGGCAGAGCAGGTTCGGTGCGAGTGGAGTCACGGATATCCTGGTTAATGTTCCACTGTATGGGGCTGACGATCAGGACTGGAGGGAGAATGGGTTCTGGTTCTGTTGGAATGTCGGGAGAGTGAAGACGGGATAGCGCATCAGCTTTGCAATTGCGATTTCCAGGTCTGTAAGTGATTGTGAATTGAAACCTTGTGAAGAACAAAGCCCATCGGGCTTGACGAGGGTTGAGTCTTTTGACTTCACGGAGATATTGGAGATTCTTATGATCAGTGATCACTGAGAAAAGGGTGATGGGCTCCCTCCAACCCGTGACTCCACTCCTCCAGGGCCAGTTTGATGGCGAGCAGTTCCCGAATGCCGATGTCATAATTCTGCTCCGCCGGGTTCAGTTTCCTGGAGAAGTAAGCGCAAGGATGGAGGATTGGAGGTTCCACACATTGCTGTGACAGCACGGCCCCAACGCCGGTGGTAGAGGCATCCACTTCCACTACAAATGGTACCTGGGGATCCGGATGGTGAAGGATGTGGGCCTCCTTAAGCTGGTTGAATGTTTCGGGGGCAAGGCTGTTCCAGGACAGGGACTTGGGTTTACCTCGTAGCATGGAAGTAAGAGGGGCCGTGAGCATGCTGAAACTCTTCACAAACCGTCGATAGAAGTTCGCGAATCCCAGGAATCTTTGTAACTGGGTATGGTAGTTTCACCGTCTGGGAGTTCAGCATGCGATAGTCGATGCACGGCCTCAAGCCCGCGTCCTTCATGCCCACAAAGAAGAAGCTTGAGGCTGCCAGGGAGGTGGATGGTCGGATGAAACCTTGCTTAAGAGCCTCCTGGATGTAATCCTCCATGGCCTTGCGCTCTGGGATGGACAGTGGGTATACTCTACCCTTAGGGAGTTTTGCCCCAGGCAGCAAGTCGATGGCACAGTCCCATGGCCGTTGCGGTGGAAGGCGAATGGCTGCCTGCTAACTAAAGACATCCTGGAACGCCACATAGTCAGATGGGACGGTCGGTGTCTCTTGCGGTTCTGGGCTTTCAACCAGGGTGGAAGCAACTTGAGCCCTGACGGGGCGTGGAAGCGGTACGGGTAGAGTGCGGAGACAGTTTCTCTGACATGACTCGCTCCAGCGCGTGATATCACAGGGTTCCTATCTGAACTCTGGAGAGTGGAGAGTGAGCCAGGTGCGTCCCAGGATGATATTCACTGTGGGTCCCTCTAGTACCAGGAAGGAAATGATTTCTTCATGCTGACTTCCGATCCTCAATCTTAGCGGTGGGGCGCGAAACTGCACCCGCCCACGCCCTAGCGGCTTTCCCTGAATCGTCTCGACTCGGAGCTCCTGGGCTTGACGTAGGCGGGGTAGATGGAGACGATTTTCGAGGTCATAGGATATGAAATTGCCCGAAGACGAGGGCTGAAACTGAAACCGAGAGGTTTTGGGTTAGCAGTTGCACTGGCAGCAGGGATAATGTCGATATTTCTGGTTCTATTTGGAGGGTGTGTGCGAAATTGTAATGTGTACTCACTGGTGGTGGAGGAGCCTTGACGCAGGCACAGAAGTTGGTTGGACACGGAAAGCTCTCCCGTCGTGGAGCCAAACACTTCCTTGACATGATTTTTGAAAGCATCATATGAATTAATTATGGCACTGTTAGCGTTCCATATCGCTCGGGCCCATTCCAGCACTTTGCTGTTTAGGAGGAAAATTAAGAAGGCTACGTTCCGTTGTGAACTTCTGCGGCTGCATCTCTATAAACAGATCCACTTGTAGAAGGAAGCCGCCACACACAGCCGTGTCACCAGCATATGAAGCAGGCAGGGCCATGGGACTTACAGAGGCAGATGATGGGGTGGTGACTGGCGTGAGGGAGGCCCTGAAGGCGCTGACCAGTTCCTCGAGGACCTCTGCGGTGGATGGAAGACGGGGATCCATGGAGGTGTTGGTTCTTGGTCCGGTCTTCTGTCACAAACAGGCAAGAGACAAGAGGAGTTCAGGTAAACAGATGGGTTTACTGACAATGCTGTGATGGTCAGGATCGAAGGCAGGTGACTATGAGAGATATGTGAAAGTTCTGGGTTTCTTAGCTTCTTGGTAATCTGGGTTCTGATTGTTGCAGGAATCCTGGAGACAAACCGGGGCTGAGGAGAATCGGGATCGCGGAGACGTTATAGACCCCTGGAGGTAAGGAAACAACAGGTAATTATGCAGGTAAGGAGTCTGGCAATGTTCAGGTAGTGAACGGTAGACCGGACACTGGAACACTGAGTGGAGTGAGAAGATATAGCGGGCTTGATTGGTGATGCAGGTGCAGGTGATCAGAATTCGGGTGATTGGGATCTGGTGTGTGTCGGAGGAGGGGACTGTGCTGACGTGAGTGATTGTGATGATTTCCTGACAACCAGCATGGGGTAAAAGGCACAAGGTATTAATACAAATACTTCAGCTAAAATAATGTTTGTTTGTTTTTTAAATAATGTCTAAGTTAATACTTGTTCAAAACAATCACTTTAACAAAATTTGTACTATTTTATAAAGTTTGTACTTATTTTGAAAAATAAAATAATTATTTTTTTCAATAAATATACTGTCGTTAAAGTATGTTAACATAAAAAAATATATTTTAAAATACAGAAACAAAATCGTTTTAATAAGTAAAGATTCTGAAAGTATTGAAGGAGATCCAATAATAATTGAATATATATTTACAGTAGTAACAACAAATGATATTTTATTATATAATATGATTAATATCATGTTTTTAAATATGATGGTTTCATTCTAAACATGGTGATTATCATGGTGATTATATGGACACCCAACATAATATATGATATTTACCATTTTAAAAACTATTATCTTAAACAAAATGAAAATCATAAAGACCTTTTTCTCAAAATATATGCATTAATTTCATTAATTTT